CCTTCCGGCCCGTGGGCCGGTCGCTGCAGCACCTCTTCCTGAACAGCAGTGGCCTGGAGCAGGTGGGCACAGGGGGTGGGGACGATGGGGGGGGGGCAGCTTGGTCCTATGTAGGGAACATTCACTCAACAAACACTGCCAGCCTGGCAATGCCAGGCCCGAGGCTGGGCACGGGGACCCTTAGATAAGCCAGACCACCCTGCCCAGGGAACTGGGTGTGGGTGACAGAGCATCCGAATCCATGCCACACAGAGGCCTGCCCGGGAGGGCACTGCTGGGCTCCGAGGAGGGAGGAGGTGGGCCTCAGGGCCCCCTACTGTTGTGCACTGTGAGGCAGTGGAGCCTCAAGGGGCTTTGCCGCGATGGGGGTGGGGTGGCTCAGGCAAAGCAGAAAGCACCAGGACCGGGTCCAGGTGACTTGCAAAGGGCAAGCGCTTTGGCATCAGAGGCACCTCCGTTTCCACCCAGTCGCTGCCTCCTGCCTGGCCACCTGAGGGTCCCCACTGCCTTGTGCTAGGGGAGCACGGGCCTCCCTCCCTGACCTGACAGGAGCTCACCCCAGGGCCTGGCGCCTCCTTGCAGGTTTCTCCCGGGGCCTTCTCAGGCCTGGGGCCCCGGCTGCAGAGCCTGCACCTGCAGAAGAACCAGCTGCAGGCCCTGCCCGCCCTGCCCGGGCTCAGCCAGCTGGAGCTGGTCGACCTCAGCGGCAATCCCTTCCGCTGCGACTGCCAGCTGCTCCCACTTCACAGGTGAGCACCTCCCCCTGGGCCCCCAGCGGGACCCGCCAGCTGCTCTCAGTCCAGTCCCCACTGGCTCTCCAGGGCCCCATGTCTGCCCGGCTGAGCAGCTTTCGGGGAGTGGGTTCCTGCCAGGGCACAGCTTGGGTGGTTTCTCTGAGCCTCGAGTCCCTCATCCATAGAGTGGGAATGAGATCTGCCCAGCCCAGCGGGGCCGGACCTCATCAATATTCGTGGGCGCTTCACATAATTACGCGAGAAAGCAACAGTCACCTGGAGTCCTGCCTGTCTGGCCGTCTGACTTGGGCCACACAACCCCCTTCTGTAAGGGGCTGATAGTAATCGTGTCGACCTCATGGTGGTGGCTTGTTAGCAGTTACATTGAATTAGTTACATGTATAGATTGGTGTGACCCATTACAGCCCTGCGTAAGCACCTCATGGTGGCGGCTTGTTAGCAGTTACATTGAATTGTATAGATTGGTGTGACCCATTACAGCCCTGCGTAAGTGTTTATCACCACGACTGCCCTCTTGTTACAGAGAAGGGATGTGAGGTTGGAAGTGACTTGCTCAGGGTCACGTAATTGGTGAGCGACCGAACCAGGATTCTCTGGAGTCGGTTCTCAGGCACGAGGCCCCACTGCCCCAAATGCCCGAGGCCCTCTCCTCAGGAAAGCTCAGCACCGTGGGTTCCCCGACCTCTTTCTCCTCAGGTGGCTCACTGGGCTGAACCTGCGCGTGGGGGCCACCTGTGCCGCCCCTCCCAGTGCCCGCGGCCAGAGGGTGAAGGCTGCAGTTGCTGTCTTTGAAGCCTGCCCGAGCTGGGCTTCCAGGAAGGCCAAGCAGATGCCCAGTGCCCGGAGAACCCGCGTGAAGGGAAGACAGCGGGGAGCAGACAAGGTTGGCAGGTGGGGGGAGGCCTCGGGGGGTGGGGCAGGTTCCAGAGCTCCCGGGGCAGCAGGGCTCTGACTTCTCTTGGTCTCAGTTTCATGTGGTTCTAGATCTGGGCAAGGACCCATTGCCTCCATTCAGGAATGCCCATGCCCGCCTCCTCACCTCCTCTACCTCTGGGCTGGGCTCGGGATGGGTGTGTCGGACTCGCTGCTTCACATGATTTCATCCTGTGGGACAGTGGCCTTTCCGCTAGGCCACAGCACACTGGACCGACGTGTTCGTGAAATCAATCCCACTGTCACTGAAAGGCTGGATCCCTGTTGACTCAACCATTTCCCACTCTGACCTCGAGGGCCTGGCTGTCCCAGGGGCGGGCAGGCCAGCAGTGCCTATGCCCCCCTGCTTCTCGGCCACCAGCTGGACTCCACTCTGCGGCGGTCCGTCAGCCCCTGGGCACTGTGTTCACCATCCTGACAAATGCATTCACACCTGAAAGATCAGCTGTAGCCAGATCTCACAGCACATCAGAGGAGAGTGAGCGAGATGCGGGCGCCTCTCCAGGTGGGGCCCGTGCTGGGTGGTGAGGGCACTGGGGGCGGGAGGGTCTATAGGGGAGCAGCCAGTCCTCAGAGGGAAATGAGAACAGAACAAGGAGGCACTGGGAGGGAGAGGACCTGCATCGGAAGATTTGGGGTGCCTGGGGACCGTTAGATGATGGAGCAGTTCCCTGGGGCTGCAGAACCATGTACCACAAATGGTATGTTTATCACATCACTGTTCCAGAGGTCACAAGTCTGAACCAAGGCATGGTCATGCTCCCTCTGACGCTCTAAGGGGGTCCTTCCTGCCCCTTCCAGCTTCTGGGGGCCCCAGATGCTCCTTGCCTGTGGCAGCACAGCTCCAACCTCTGGTATCTCCTTGTCTTCACATCATCTCACGACATCCTGTGCCCCCTTCTTATAAGAACACAGACTATTGGGTTAGGGTCCACCCTAATGACCTCATTTGACCTTGATTACCTCTGTGAAGTTTCTATTTCTAAATAAGGTCTCATTCTGAGGTGTTTCTCTGGAGGACAATGTAACCCCTAAGAGTGTTCCTTGTGGGGGTAGAAAGGAACCCCTCATAGGACCCCAAGCTGAAGGTGAGCAGTTCTGCCGTAGAAGCACGGCCTGGAAGAGTGGTGACAGCGGCAGCAGAGGCCAGCTGACGCTCGTGTGCATGGGCTTGCCCCAGGCTCGTGCTGATGAACGGCACGGGCTCTCCCTGTGCCAGCCCGGGCTCCTGGAGCACAGCTGCCGGCCCCAGCTCCAGGCCAGGGCTTTAGTTCAAAGGGACACCCCCCGCCCCCCCCACACACACACAGAGCACGGTGGTGTGGCAGGAATGGGGACACCTCAGACCACACCCTCCAGCCACCCTTCCTGAGACGCAGATACCCCACCGAAGGCCAGCCTGGAGTTCTGGGCTTGTTTTTATTTTGTTGAAAGTGGCAGTTTTCTCCCAGGAACACAATTGAAGGATAAGGGTCCTGAGCTGTGGCAGGATGCTCTGGGTCCGGATGCTGACCTTGCCTCTCCTTGGAGCCTAACCTCTAGCTTGGGGCCCAGCACATGGAAGATGCTTAATGTTGAGGGAATGAATAGTGCAGCAGTAAGATGGCTGATCAACCAGGGTTTAATCCCGCTGCTGTCATTTAAGTAGTGAATTTAAGCAACCAAGTTCCTAGACCTTAAGGAGCCTTTCTTGTCCTGTCTGTAAAATGAAGGCATGTTCCTTGCAGGCCCCTGTGGAGATGAAGCTGTAAGTGTGTATAAACCAGGGCCGGCATGTGAAGTTGTCATAAACGGCCGTCCCCTTGCTTCTCCCAGTCCCTTGGGCAGAGAAGGTCTGGACTAGGTGGCAGGAAAGTGTGAGGTGCATTTGGACTTGGCCGAATCCGCACCAGGAGCCGCGGCATGTCCTGCAGCAGAAGCAGGGAGTCGGAAGGGCCCTTCAGGAGGTTCCCAGCCAGCAGCCCCACTGTGAGACCATCCGGGAGCTGAGACACAGGGTCATTCTGTGCCTTGGGGAAGAATGCCCCAGAGGTCAACTCTTGCACCTGGGACACATCAAATTGACCTTTAGGCCCCATCCGTACCCTTTCATGTCGTACACACTCATTGTACCAGGCCCGTGCAGAGGGCACGAGGGACAAGGCACAGGCTAGGCCAGTGATGGCGAACCTCTTGAGCTCGGCGTGTCAGCATTTTGAAAAACCCTAACTTAACTCTGGTGCCGTGTCACATATAGAAATTTTTTGATATTTGCAACCATAGTAAAACAAAGACTTATATTTTTGATAGTTATTTTATATATTTAAATGCCATTTAACAAAGAAAAATCAACCAAAAAAATGAGTTCGTGTGTCACCTCTGACACGCGTGGTGTCATAGGTTCGCCATCACTGGCGCTAGGCCTTGGGGGAACTCAGGGTCTGGGGGAGGGGAATGGCAGAAATAAGGGCACTATGTGTGGTTGCTATGGAGACAGGTGCTCAGGAGACAGGTGCCATTTATTCTTTATTGCTTCTTCACATGTGAACTCACCTCGCAATTGTTACTATGAGGCGGTATATCAGAACACACGCTGCTGTAAGGAACAAAAATCAGACAAACCGGACTTCAGCAAGTAAGGGATTTCATTATCTCACTGTCTGGGGAGGCCAGTCCAGGGCCTGAGTGGCAGCTACACTTGTCCTTCAGCTCCACCGTCAGGAGCTTTTGTGCCCACGGCACCTGTAGGCGTCACTTCTTCATTCAAGAAGAAACTAAAGGCCAAAGTGCCATACGATTCCAGTTTCCCCAGAAGCCACAGGGAACACCTAGGCCATCTTCGTCCCTGGGGGTTGATGCCACTGCCTGTCACACCCCGGTCTGTCCCTGCTTTTGGCCTTCACTGTTTGCAAATCTAGTCACTTTTTGGAGAAATCAGGCTGCACCAACAAGCTGCTTTCTGGGGCTCGTTTCTGCACCACGTGGGGCTGCCTGATGCCTTCAGCAAAGGAGACCAGACCACGTTCTCTCCACTGACTGGAAACTGGCTCCCCTTGGGCTGATCACCCATCTCTGGGATGACACCCCATAGCCAGGCCCTGAGCAAGCAGACAGCACCCCGAGTGGCAAACACAGGCCACAGCAGCCTGACTGACCAGCTCAGGCGGCAGCTGGACTCCAGGCCAGCACAGCTGCGCCTTAGAGGTGGACCCTGACAGTGCGGCTCCCTACCCACAGCAGAGGAAAGAAAAGGGCTGAGGCTGCAGCTTCCGCCTTAGGTTCCAGAAAGGGGAGCGAATGAAGAGACAGGATTGATCAGAAAGGCGACAGTTTCAAAGGAGACTAATTTGGGCAAACAGGAGGTGAACTAGAATGTAATTTCCGAGAGGAGCAGGGAAACCCGTGTTAAGGAGTTAAGGGCTCGGACAGCAAAGGAGAGGGAACCAGGAAGTGTGTCCTGTTACCCCTGCTCCTGCACAGGCTCCTCCGCCAGCAGGACTGACACTCCCCTCGCAGCCCTGTGACTCTGACCCTGGTTCACAGAAGGGGAGTGACAAGGACAGGCCCCAGCCCAGCCGGCCTCTGGAGCAGGTTCAGATCGAGGCTGGAGGTCGTCTCCCAATCAGGTGGGGCCCCCACACCTGCTGCTCCCCCAGGGGCACGGGCTGGCGTGGTCTTCCCCTCGCTAGGTCCCTGCAAGCCCCCAGCCCAGGGAGCACACCCCACCTCTGCCCTTTTAGAAATGGGAACTGGTGCTCCTGCCAACAGGGAACGTAAGTCAAGGACGCCTCACAAGCCACTGAAACCCACATCCTGGTCACTGCTTCTCAGCTGCCCAACAGACATGGCTGTCCCTGCGGTGCTGGGAGGAAAGAGCACAGCCCAGGAGGCAAGACAGGCCACTTGGTAAAATGTTCAGACCATCACACCACTCACCCCAACCAGGCGAGGCCTCCCCCTCAAGAGCGGCTGCAGGCCTTTATTATGTGCCGTGCTGGGCCGCACACACAAGCGCACGCACACTTCACTGTTTGGTCTTGCAGTGTGGCAAGCACAGGCCACAGCCCCCAACCCTGGCGGCTGAGGGGTGTGGAGGGGGCGACTGGAAGGGAGAGCTTCAGGAACTGGAGCTGGAGAGGGAGCCACTCCGACCATGTGGGGACCCCAGGCAGCCCCAGTCACTAGGCCTTGCCAGAGGGCAGAGGTCACAAGGCAGGTCGAAGGAGACCCGGCTCATCCTTCAGTGCCGGGCCCTCAGCACCAGGCGGTATTTATGCAAAAAGGCTCAGTCTCCAAACTGAGGAGGGTGGAAGGGAGGTGGCGACAGAGGAGCCTGCGCTGGCCTCCCGGTGGCCAGGCTGGCAGCAGGGGCGGCTCAGTCGTCTGCCTCCTGTTTGATGTTCTCGATGGAAACAGGCAGCTCTGGACTCAGGGCCTTGTCAGGCGTGGCCGCTTCCACATGCTCTTCCTTCACACGCACAGCGATGACTGGAGAGGGAGGGGGTGGGGGTGGGGGGAGAGAGAGAGGCTGTGCATGTAACGCTGGGAAGGGTGGGGGCTCCGGATCTGGGGAAGGGATCTCACTCCCTAGATGGGGGTCTCAGGATGAGGCGGGAGAAGGCCCAGGCCCCGTCACACGCCCGCCAGGCTGGCTGTGCCAGAGACGCTGCACCTGCCCCTCTGCCGCTCACCCTGCCAAGCACGAGGTGGGCAGAGGTGGAGAGGCCAGGCTGAGCGGCTTGGCTCCGCTCAGATCTGGGGGTGGGTGTTTCGGAAGCTCTTCTGCCCAGTGGTCTGAGAAGGGCTGCTTGGTGCCCAGAAAATTCCCTTCAAAATTGACTGTACCCTTCTGTGCCAGGTGGGGAAGGAGAGGCGCCGCCCCTGAGCCCTGCCCACCAGCCCGCCCTGGGCTCTTACTCTCATCGGGAGCGGCCCCCGCCGAGACCTTCTCTGCGGCCCGTGGGTCTTCATCCAGCAGGGGCTTCTTGGACCCCTGTCTCAGGGGCCGCGTCTTGGTCGGTGGCATTCTTTTCCCTTTGAATAAAAACGGAATTAAACCCAGCATTAGGGTCACATCCATGAGGCTTGAAGGTTGGATCTCATCCAGCGGCTGGGCAGCAGAGCAGAGGGGACGGTACCGATTTAGGGGAACTGGCCTGAACTTCCGACATCACCCCTCAGGCCCTGTGCCCGAGGCTCAGAGCCCGTCACAACCTTAATCCTGCTCAGCGGCCTCCCATTGCGGGCACCTCTTCTCTGGGTGGTGCCGGTCATGGAGGCTACCTCGCCACCAGCGTCCTCTACTCCCTGCCCCCTCCAACCGGCTGCCCCGAGCCAAGCCCCTGCTGGACTCAGGACCTGCTGAGAGTGGCGCCGCCTGGGGAAGTGACCCTGAAGCTGCGGCTGCCCTTGCTCCCATCCCTGAGGGGGCAGAGGGAAGACCGGCAGCCTGGGGAGCAGCTTCGTTTCCTCCAGCACCTCTGACTTCCACACCCAGCAGCTGAGCACAGCAGAGGGGCGGTTCCTGTCATGGGCAGCATGGGGCCCCTCCCTCCCCTTCCTGCTCTCAAATACAACCTCCTGTCTTTTCCTGGCATCTGACCACTGCCAGGGACTAAAGGCTCCCTACTCTGCTCTGGGTCACGGAAGACAGGATGATGGCCCGTGGGGCCAAATGGGAAGGGGAGGAGGTGGAGGGACCGTCGTCACGACCTAAGTGACAACACCCAAGCTCTGCTCCCAGGGCCACAGGCCCTGCTGATCCGGGTCCCACACCAGCCCAGGCAGCTTTAGAGCATCACTTACTTTTCTTCCCAAACTGCTTCTTTCTTTTCTTCGTGGCCTCTTTGGCCTTCAGAGGTGTGGTTGGCTCTGTTGTTGAAAGAAAAGGACAAGAGGTGAGGAGAGAGTTCTGAGAGGACACAGGGTAGAGGCACATCCGGAGACCCCTGCCCACCCCTCATAGCCTCCCTGACACTCGGGACACCCCAAGAAGGAAAGCCAAAGTTGGGCATGAGAAAGGGGAAGGGGCTGGGGGAGGGACTGGAGAGCAGCTGTCCCTTCCCACCCTCGTCACCAGGGCTGCACCGAGGGACCTGGGTAGTTTACCTGGGTGCATAAGGGCACGAGCATATGACAGAGTGGGCAAGATCAAGGAAGGAGCTCTGCAGGCCAGAGGGAAAGGGAGACAGAGAAGTCAGGAGCAAGGGTGGGCCAGGAGACTTCTCGATCTCATGCCACAGAATGAGGTGGGCATGGGGCAGGGGGCGTGGTTGGAAGGAAGGAAAAATGAAAGTCAGGAGCCCCTTAGGGCTGCAAGAACCCAGACCTGTGGCCACGGGTGGCTGGAGCTGGTAGCCGGTGAGCTCGCACCAGCCGACGGGGTAGATGTCCGGGGACTCACAGTCCACCCACTGGTCATACTCGTTGTCCCAGCCGTCAAAGTGGATGCTGAGGAGCCGATGCACCACCCGCTTCACCGTGGCCACGCAGATGAGCCGGGGCTCCATCAGGTCCACGGCCTCCAGCTTCATGCCCACCTTGAAGCCGTGGTTGGGGCAGTCCTGGGAGGAGGAAGAAGGCAGTGACCTGGCCAGCCAGCTCCCTGCCCCAGTGGTGAGTGCCTGCAGGGGAAGGTCCCTCTGACCAATGGCCCCCCTGTACTTTGTGCCCAAGCACCAGTCCCTGTGGGAAAGGGACCGCTGGACTATTGGGGCGCGGTGCCTGTGTCGGAGCGGGGCCCTCTCCCCGGAAGTGGCTGATCTCAGCAGCAGATACTCGCTGACAGTGGGCAGGGCCAATCCGAGGCCACCCGGGTGCCCAGTCCTCAGTCTCCTCACCATGTTAAACAGTCTCGATGGAGCTGCTTTCGACTTGGTCTTCTCCAAGTAGGTGTCCCAGTTGAAAGTGCGTGTGTCATAGCCTGAGGAGCAGAAGGAGATGTGGAGGGAGGAGGAGGAGTGGGAGGAGGGGGAGTGGGAGGAGTCCAGGGGGGAGCACCAGCCAAAGGGGCGCCTGTAGCCTGGTCAGGCCAGTCTTACCTTTTGGGAGTGTGAGCTCAATGTCATTCTTTTGGCAGAAGGTGGCTGGGAAGATGGCGTGGGAGGAGGCGTGGTAACAGAACCAGTCCGAGCCATCGGTGGAGGGCCCCCCGTCCACACAGATCATTAGGTAGCCATCCAGGAGAACCTGGGGGTGGTCGAGAGGGGTACCCAGAGAACACGGTATCATGAGCTGCACCCCATCCCAGGGCAAGGTGGCTGTGGTGGGGACACGAGGCCATGGCTCCCCTGAGCTGCTGCTCCAGCTACGGCTCTCCGAAGCCTATGCTGGAGATTACTGACCCTCCTCACTGGACAGCAATCCGTGCCCACAGGGCCCCTGTCTGTCTTTGTGCCACTGTGTTCTCAGTGGGGAGCTCACGGAACTCAGGGCTCCAGGAGCAGGCAGCCGGGAATGTGGTGGACACGGAGTGAGGGCTCTGCACCAGCTCCCTCCCCTGAGCCACCTGGAGGTTGAGGCAGCCACAGGCTCACCTTGCAGATGGTTGCCACGCAGATGTTGCCCAGATTCAGGGGGTCAATGGCCTCCAGCTTCATCCCCTCCTCAAACCAACCGCCTTCTGTGTAGACAGCGCGAACCTTAAAGGAACGGGATAGCTGGGGCACCTGGGACAGCCCAAGTGCAGGGCGGAAGGAGCAGGCCTCTCCTGCCAGAGGCCTGGGAAGGGAACAGGGAGGGCCAGGGTCCTAAGGCCTGGATTGGACCCATGATCAAGGGGAAGGGGCCCAAGAGCTTGCCTCACCTTCTTGAACAGGTAAGGAACAGCATCACAGTAGATTTTCCGGAAGGTGGGATGGTGGGCCATGTCGCTGCGCCTCTCTTTTGGGGAGATGGCAGAGGGAGTGAGGGAGAGAAGGGAGTTGAAGGCTGCTAACAGGGCCATCGCTACACTCCCCAGAAGTGCGGGTGCTGCCCCGCAGGTGCTGCGATCTGTGTCTCAGCCCCCACCCGCCTGGACTAGAAGCTAAAAGCGTTAGGCACCCTCCATGGGAACTATTAGCCCCAAGACCCATTCTCCTCCCAGGTGACAGGGGGAAGATGGGGCCTGTGGTCTTCAGTTCCAAATCAGTTTTACCACCTGCAAGCTGAGTGACCTTGGTCAAGTCACTCAACCTCTCTGGGCCTCAGTATTGCCAACTGCAGGGTGGAGATGAGCACCTATACCACAGGGCGTTGTTGTGGGGTACAGAGGTGCTCCCACCCAGCCTCGGGGTGGCAGAGCTGGGGTCAGGCTGCCTGGGGCTCTGCTAACCTGACAGCTTGATGCCGTGGCCGACACGCCGTGACCAACCCACTGGATGGATCAGGGGGCTCCACATATGGCACCAGAAGTCGTCGTCACTGTCGCCATCTTCGTACAGGAGCCGTAGGCGACCTCCAATTACCGTGTCCACCACAGCCATGCGGGTCCGAGACACCTGGGACTTGTCCACCACCTCCAGCCGCATGCCCTGCCGAAAGGGGTACTTCATGCTCTCCACCATCTGCAACATCAGAACACAGGCCTGCTGTGGGCATGGGGCCCCTGCCACCACCTTCTTACAAGCAACCAGAGGACAGGGAAAGTGGGGTGGAGCCGCCCGAACACTGAGTCAGGAAGTGAGCCCTCCTGTCCCCCGATTCCACCCTGGCCTCCACGTCCTGAGGATGACACTGAGAAGGTAGGCAGCTCACAACGCGCACACCAAAGTGCCAGTAAGCCAACCTGCGGGGAATTACAAAACCCTTTGCAGACTAAGGAAGCGGGTGCCCAGAAGGTCAGGTGACTTGCCCAGAGTCACACAGTCATTCGTGCCAGAGCTGAGCCTTGAACCTGATCCCAGTATCCAGCCTTGTGCTCCTTCCGGGACCTGTGTTCTGACCCACAGGTGTCCCACACTCCCCTCTCCTGCCCGCCTCCTGCTGGTGGCACGCACAAGCTTCCTGAGTAGAGTCGCCTTTGCTTCCATCCATCCAGTTCCAGCTCTGGCCTCACCGGGCCGCGACTCTGAATGGCTTTTGTAGCACCTCAGTAGCAATGCCTGCCCCCTCTGACGCAGCAAGGACAGTGACCAAGAGGCCCACCAACTGCTCTAGAGAGCCCTGGTGGTGGGCATGGGTGACGGGGCAGGAGATGCTTTGTTTGCTTAACTCTGGTGAGGACTGGGGACAGTGAGCTCCGCAGGGCTCTCTCAACCCCTTGGCATGGGGGGACTGAGCTGTGCTATTTCAAATGCCACCAGAAGGGAAGGCGTCTCCACCACAGACCCTCAGCCCTCAAGGCTGGAATGCACCACCCCAACACCGACTGCCTGGCTGGTCCATTTAGATGAGGGAGAGATGCAGGTGAGGCCTGGACTGGGGTCCCTCTGGGCTGCCCCCCACCAGCCTCCCTGATACATTCCTTTCCTCTGCACCCACCCATGGCAGCCCACAACCCAACAACCCTACTCCAGTGTTTATGGTCACAACCGGAACCTGAGCTCTGCAAGGACAGAAACTAGGTTTGCCTTGACTCCGGTCGACATTCTCAGCTGAGCACAGAACTAGGCACAGAGTTAGTGCCCAGTTAATGATTTTTCTCAGCAACGAACAAACACAGGCAACACCAGACACTGGCTGATGGGTCATTCATTCAAAAGATTTTACTAAGCACTGACCATACTGCAGGCATCAAAGGGCATGTTTGAGTTGAAGCTTCCTCCACAAACCCACCTCTTACCCTCCCCCCCCGTCTTCACAGGCAGCTGCTTTGTGTCCGCTCCAGCACGCACTGCACACCTGGGTAGGTGACAAACCGCACGCTTGCCGACTGGTTCACATGGAACCCTGTTCTGCCACCAGAGCCAGTCCTTGTAACTTCGGCAGAAAAGAGGCCACCTTAATACTCATAGTGCCCTGCACCACCACCATCCTCTGCCTCATCTTAAGACAAGGGCCAGCTGAGAAAGAGTGAACAGTCATCCTCAAGGCAAATCTGTCAACTGTGCAAGGCACTATGGGAAATGCAGGAGGAAAAGCTTACAGTTTGGTTGGAAAGAGAATACAAAACGATGATTAACAACAGATAGAGAGATAAGCAGCAAGTGAGTAGCACCCACTGAGTTCAAAGAAGGGAAAAGTCATTTCTACTTAGGGAAAGAAAGTCCGAGAACGCCTCCTGAGGGCTGGGGACCACCTCTTGCTGCAGGCTGGTGCCGGTGCCCTGGGCGAGATGGCAACTCCCACTCCATCCTTGTTCTCCAATGCTGGCTTCCATGCCACCCACACCCTATTGACCAAGGTCAAATTCAAATGCCATTTTTTCCATGAACCCTTCTTTAATACTTATTCCAGTTCAATTTCGTGTCATGGCAGCACCTGCCCTGCATTCCCTGCTCACTGTTGTGACACCCAGGCAACAAGGGAACCACACCTGTGAGATCCGGGTCAGGAGACCTGAGGTTCGGCCCCACCACCTCGGTGAGTGAGCCCCAAGCAATCTGGCCTCTAGAGTGGGAGAGACTGAGTCTTCACTCTGTCCCCTTGAGATCCCTTTGAATTTTTACCATGTGTATAGCTTTTTAGGTTAAAGAACTAAATAATTTTTAAAATTACAATTCAATGCCACACAGGTGGTTCTGAAGCACCTCCCTGGTTCAGAACCAAGGCCACTTTATAATTATTCATGTGCATGACTTCGTGTCCTCGGCCAGACAGGAGGGTCCTGGGATGCAGGGCCTGTGTTCCCACAGCACTTAACAAAGCCTACTGAGCCATGCTCCTGAACAAGGCCCTGAGCACAGGTGAGGGCCCAGGAGAACAAATGGCAGACAAGGCAGGTGGTCGATGCGGCGGGATCAGAGTCGGGCTGGGGAGGAGGCAAGAACCACCATCCTTCCTGGAGAACCATGGAGCCACTACGGACTGTTAAACAAGGGTCTTAGGAAGAACCAACAAGCAGCAGGAAGCACATCAAAGAGGAGGGCAGGAAGGGGACCACTGAGGAGACCCAAAGGGCTCAGTGCCAGACCTTGATATGAAAATCCACGGGGAGCGTCCTGGAGCCCACCAACCGCTTCATGAGGTAGCCCTTCCAGTCGGTGAACTTGGCGTGGATGGCTGCGAGACAGAAGATTCCTGGTTACACGCTGACAACACTTCCACCGACAGGGGCGCCAGAGCCACCCCAGAGACCAGCAGAGGAGATGGACGACTTATTTCTGCCTTTCGGTCCGCAATCACCTCATCCTATACAATCAGGCTCTAAACCTGGAGCTGCCACGAGGCCTCTGGGACAGAGGAGGCAAGTGGGTTCTGTTCTGCCTAACCCAAGGGCTCTCGGAAACCAGCACACGGAAGCCCTCATCGACTCACTCCGGGGCGGCACCAGGATCTTGCTGTTGATGGCACACCAGCCGATGGGGTGGACATCCACAGTTCCCAGGTTGCACCAGAAGTCGTGGCTGCCATCATTTTCAAAGCCCTCATATCGAAGCAGTACTCGGTACCCTGGAAAGGACACGAGCCGCAGTGAGGGAGGGTGCGATGGGGAAAGGTATGTTCTTAGGCCTTCCTCCTTCCGCAGCCTAACCCAGACTTTCAGCTGCCGCCTCCAAGAACTCCTTGCAGACACTGTGGTCTCTGCTGTCCACCGAGTCATGGCCAAAACAAACCCATGCCACTTACTTGGAAAGCAGTGCGGCATAACGGGGAGAATTAATTTTCTATAGCTTGATTATCCCTGGAATAAACCTTAAAAAATGGGAGTTTCCAAACTCACCCAGCTCGGTGGTCCCCTCTAAGGCAGGCGAGGTAGGGCTGCCAGGGTGCCAGCAACTCCAGCAGGTAGGTTTTGTTGCCCACAGCACTGCCCACCCATCTACAGACGCCACTCTCCAGACCCTGCTCCTCTTTGGCCAGAGGACACCCACCTGCGGCCTGGATGACAGAGGCGATCCAGTACACCCGGCTGGGGAGCACGGCGTCACTGTTGAGCACCTCCACCTTCATCCCCTTCATCACATCCTCCCACTGGTCATAGAGTGGGACCTGGGTGGGGACGAGAGAACCCAAAGGAAACAGTGAAGTAACTGCCTGGGCTGGCAGAGAAGAGCACTGGCCCCATGGCTTCCCAACTGATTGTGTCTTTCGCCTTTTCGCATCAGTCACTGGATGAGGAAAACCAGGCACAGGACGAGGGAGGAAGAGATGAGCAAGGTGTGTCTGCTGCCCTTGAAGAGCAGTCAGGGAATGGAGATGGGGTGGCCAGGGTGACGGTCAGAGATCCAGTCAGGCAGCCCCGAGTACTAGTCGGTACAGGACCAGCTCCTCGCTGTACCATCTTGAGCATATCACACCTGTGCCGGCCTGCATGACACATTACAGCTGCTAGTGCTTACCACGTGCCAAACCCTGTTCTTGGCACAAATATCACCTCCTTAAATTGTCACTCAAGCCTGGGCAGTAAGGATCATGACCCCCTGATCTCTCAGCCATCGCCACGCCGGCTCTCACAGAGCCGCCCACCACACATTACTCCCGGCATGTTCTTTCTCCACCCCTCCAGCTCGTCCTCTCCACCTGTTCACGTGCCCCCCTGACAGCAAGGGACTGCTTTTTGGGTGCCTTCCCACTGACTAATCCTCACTTTGCTGCCAGGCACCTTGATCTCCTTTGGGGAAATTCACCTTTTCTGCATCCCAGCCTGCTTAGGCCAATCGGGGTATGCTGTCCCATGTCCCTGGCCACAGATTGGGTTCATCATAGACCTAGAATGCTACCCAGGCACACAGGAGCGGGCTTTTCCCAGAGCACATGAACCGGACATGTTAAATGCAAGTATGTCGTTAACTCCCCTGCAGCAAAGGTGCCAATGCCAGGAGTGCTAGAGAATTCAGGGCAACTAGGAGAGGCCACCTGCACCAGCAATTCAGAGGAGTCGAAGGTCAGCTCTTCACTGTTCAGGGCACCCTGCAGAGTTCAGCAGCAGCTCAGAAAGGAGAGGCCAGGGGGTGGGTTTACTCTGGTGAGAGGCCTCCACCTACATTTCCTGGTGTTTTAGAAATTGGCTTGGAAGACAAAAGAGTGCTGCTCTAGGCCTCCCTCCTAGCCTGCTTCACAGTCAGCACCTCCACTCCACACCCAGCCCCCAGGGCCTCACCCTGCTGGTGTTTCTCAATGATAGGGGCCAGGGAGCCGTCTGCAGAAGGGGCTCCAGGAGGCATCCACATCCGCCTCCCAGGGACCAAGGGGCCCAGGGTAGTTCAGAAGCACCAGGCTTTCAATGGGAAACATGGACAATGGGAAGAAAGGAGAAAAGGAGTTCATATTTGGTGCTCAGACATAAGCTAGCACCACGTTCCATTATGTAAATAACAAGTTCCCCTCAGTGAGGGTCCGAGGGAAGACTTTTGCAAAGAAGTGAACAGAAAGGTAAACGAGTAACAAAGCTGGACTTCAACCACCAGGACCCTGCTCCACCACCACTGTTCTCTCGCAGTGCCAATGCTGCGTCCAGCCTGGAACAGTGTTTGCGAGGCAGTGAGGTGAGGTGGGTGGTGAGCCCCTGGGCTCCCTGCTCCCTCTCCCCTCCCCTCCAGGGCACTCACGTGCTTAAAACAGCTGACAGGAGCAGCCTTGTAGCTGTGATCCTTCAGGAACTTCCCCCAGTCGAACCCCAAGACCAGCGCTGCAGACAAAGAGGAGTTGAAGAGAGTGGAGTCCGGAGCTCAGGCAGCAGCCACTCCAGGCAGCTGGCCCCTGAGGAGCCTGGAGAGGCAGGTCCCTTTCCCACCACAGCAGCATCTCAGTCCCAAGTGCATGGCGAGGCCACCTATCCCCATACCTGGCCCACGAGTGGCCATCAGGACCTTCTCCAAAGGCTGCCAGACTCTCAGGAGTAAACAATCAGAAGGAAATGTCTGGCCTTTCTTCCCCCAAAGGAAAATGAAATTCAAAGACCCTTGAGTTTAAATTCCTCAGACCTCCCCTGACCTGTCATTGGCTACAGCAGGCAACCCTCACGCCCATGGAGCTCAATTTCTGTCAGAAACTCTGACCACTCAGAGCAGAGTTGCTTTGTGCCTCTATTTAACTTGCTCAGAAATTGCTCCGCACTCAGCACTCAAAGTTCCCTTTCTTATTGCACCACCCCTCTCCCAACTAGACCTGGTTTTCCACCGCCCAGGGAAACGGAAAGCATAGAGCTAACATCATTGCAAAACAATAGAGGCTAATTCATGGCTTTTGAATGATCAGTGGGGGTCCTGCCATTTAGGGTGTCTGAAGGGATTTTCTGCAGTGATTTCCACAATAGCTACCAGGTGAGGAAGATGCAACCCACAGTAAGCCTGGGTCAGGGCTCTTTCTAGCGGACCATCTTTTCTCCTCACTCCCAGAGTGGGCCCCCAGTCCTGCCCCCCCCCCCCCCCCCCC